CTCCGCAGAGAGCGCCGGGAAAAAGGAGTCGAGGCCATATGGGTCGGCCGTGCGAAGAGCGTTGAGAAACAGAAAACCGCTCAAGGGATGGGCTGCGCCGACTGCAACTGTTCCTTCGTGGTTTTATGAGCGGAATACCGTGTTCAATGGAGGCGAAGGCCATGCCGCCTCAGTTCTTCCGCAACAAGTCAAGATAAGCAAACCGGAGCCGGAGAAGGTCAAGGAAACAACTGATGGCATGGCCCATGGCGGTAGTGGTAGTGGAGAGCCGTCGGAATCTAGTGGTGTGCCCGACACCGGGGAGCGGTACGCTTTGACCGAGGCGTTGTGGGAGGAGCTATGCGCATCTGCGAAGGCGGGCTTACGACTACCCCCTGCAAAATATGCGAAAGAACCTTCGGCACGAAAGTCCCATCTCGTTCTTCAGTACCCTGGTGCGGATGGCATTTTGTTCCTAGATGCGGTTGTAAAAAGGCTAGCGCAGGAACTTGGTGCTGACGTGGTGACGCTCAATGCTCAAGATATTGCGCAACTATGCAGTGAACAGGACCTGGAGGATGTCGGCACGACCTCGCCTATTAGATCTCTAGGCTATGATGTATACCGTCCAACGGCTTCGGAGTCCTGGCATGACGATAGCATGGGTGAAGGAGATGATGAAGCTGAGATTGAGATCTCTCCGCGCAGTTTGCGATCCGGTCTGAAGGGCCCCAAGTTTATCACAATCGAGAGTTCCCGAGAGGCAGGCGACATTCCTCTTCCCGGTATACTTGGCTTGAAATCGTTAGTCTCTGCGTTCAATGGACCTGTAGATGGCTCGGCAGCATCATCAAACCCCACAGATCGAGCAGAGGACCGGCGGCTCAAACTGATCAATGAGCTCATTTCCTCCGCTGGTGGGCCAAAACGGAAGTCAGCCGCCGAACTACCTTTGGACAAGCCTGCAGAATCTAAAAGCTCTGAAAACAGAACACCTGTCCGTGATGTGATTGTGCAGATCCAGGACTATGGAGAAATACAGGCTACTCGTGAAGGAGCTAGATTCATTTACTTATTGCAAAAAGCTATTCAAGACCATAGAAAGAATGGGTCTCGTGTTCTATTTGTTGGAACTGCATCGCAAGACGCCGCTTCAGAATCGGATGTTTCAAGACTAATGCAAAATGCATTTGATGATCAATTCTCACAAATGCTTGTCATAACACCTGCCATGGGATTGGAAGCAGCAGAGAAAGTTTTCGCGGATGATCGGAAAAAACGAACCTTGGATATCAACATCCGCCATGTTCAAGATATGCTCCGGACACGGCTGGGGGACCCTTCAGCCTTCGAAGACGACATATTCGGCAGCCGTGCTTGGCCACTTGATGCGTCCATCGTGAAAGAGTCCGGGCTTGAAGAACGGTATTGGCCCTACAGCCAGGTGCATTGGGCCACAACACTTGCACTCGGAAGTCTTGGCCCCGACGAACTCTTTGGTTTCCAGCACATCCAGAAGGGAATCGAAATGATGCAAAGAACAGATCGCATTAAGAATGACTGGATGCAAGAGAAATCACCCAAAATGAAGAGCACAGAGACTGGTAATGATCGGGAGCGGCTGTTGAGTTCATTACGCAAAACCTGCAATTCCCATGAGAAGAAGTTGCTGAGTGGGGTTGTGGACGCCAAAAGTATACGTACTACGTTCTCTGATGTCCAAGTTCCCCCAGAGACCATTGATGCCCTGAAGACACTCACCTCGCTTTCTCTCATTCGCCCGGAAGCTTTTACCTATGGTGTTCTTGCTACGGATAAGATTCCCGGCCTACTACTGTATGGGCCTCCCGGCACCGGTAAGACTCTCCTTGCCAAAGCCGTAGCTCGCGAGAGCGGAGCTACTGTCCTCGAGGTTAGCGGTTCCGAGGTCTATGACATGTATGTCGGTGAGGGTGAGAAGAATGTCAAGGCTATCTTCACATTGGCCAAGAAGCTTAGCCCATGTGTTGTATTCATTGATGAAGCTGATGCTATCTTCTGCTCGCGAACCGGAGCCAGCAGTCGCACATCCCATCGGGAGCTCATTAACCAATTTTTGCGGGAATGGGACGGGATGAATGACTTGTCAGCTTTCATTATGGTTGCCACCAACAGACCATTTGATCTCGATGATGCCGTTCTCCGGCGTCTCCCGAGACGACTGCTCGTGGATCTCCCCCTTGAAGAAGATCGGCTGGCCATTCTGAAGATCCACCTGAAGGAAGAGAATCTCGATAGTTCTGTTGACCTTGCCGAGCTTGCTCGCCGCACCCAACTCTATTCTGGATCCGATTTGAAGAACCTTTCTGTCGCCGCGGCTCTAGCCTGCGTCCGGGAGGAGAATGACCTGGCGGCTCAGCACCAGGGCGACGAGCCCTACCAATACCCAGAAAGACGCACGCTGACCTGGAAGCATTTCGAGCGTGGAATGGAGGAGATCAGCGCCTCCATCAGCGAGGATATGTCGTCACTCTCGGCGATCCGCAAGTTCGACGAGCAGTACGGCGACCGCAAGAGTCGGCGTAAGAAGAGCCCTGGATGGGGATTCACGCCTGTTAGCACCGAGGAGGCTAGTTCCGATGCTGCACGCGTACGGGCATGACATGACTACAATATGGGAACATTTTAGAGGGATTGGTGTTCATTCTTGCGACAATAGGATTTGGGATCTCACGCGACGACTTGTATACTATTAGCGATATGATAAACCTGTATCAATACATACCATAGGCTGAAAAGTGACATATAATTTGTTGGATTGTATACTATCCATCCTCCAAATGAAGAGCAACGGTGGCTGATACTAGTTGGTTTCCCCAGCCCTATCAGATCCGCAGAGCAAAAATCGGCGATGACATCGACGAGTAAATCTCCGCCTTTTTCGTCGACGCAACCATCACCCGACCAACTCGCTCTTCTCACCCCCTCTCGAGAGAGTCACTTCGCGGGGATCAAGAAGAGGGATCTGAGAGAAAAGAGTCTTACAATCTACTACTTATTACGATTAGAATCACCATCAACAACCCAATATCCTTACACGGCCCACTTCATTTTCTCCTCACGCAACACTCCACACGACCTCTTACCCCTCACAACACGGCCACCCACTAAACCACCAACACAAACCTCCACACGCACAGAATTTCTCCACAGAAAATACATTAAAAATGGCCACCGAAGCTCGCGACTCCGCAATTCGCGAAGCAAAACTCTACGTCCGCGAAATCGTCCGCAACGACTGGACCTTCAAGCCCTCCACCGACGCGGGCGCACCTGCATCTGCAACCCCCACGCCACCGGACCAAGAAATCACAGCATGGCGACTACGCACATATGACAGCTCCGCATCGGAGCTGGAGCCGCTTTCTTCGCCTACGATCGCCAGTCCGCCTAGCGGGTACGACTCTGCGCAGATTGAGAGTCAGGTTTTGTCGCAGGCGGGGGACGAGAGGACCGAGCGGAGGCGCAAGCGGCGCAGGCAGATGGAGGAGGAGATGCAATGGAATGAGGGGCTGAGGACTTGGGTGGAGCGGCGGGATGCGTGGACCTGCGCAAAATCGAGGGAGGAGATTGTTGCGCGGAGGCAGCTGAAGCAGGCACAGGCTCTGGCGGAGGCGACGACCATCACCGAGGAGACACGCGACCAGGATGCGTCTTCTGGGTCTGCTTCTTCGAGGCCGGCTTCGTCTTCTTCGCGGGATGAGGCGGATCTTGCGACGAGGACTGAGGCTTCCCTTTCTGTTGCGGAGAAGGAGGAATCGGGTCCGTCGTCGGTGTCTGCTCCGCCCCTGCACGGTGAAGATCAGAAGGAGTCTACTGAAACGGGGGTCACAGAGCCGGAGATTGCTCTTCAACAAACGGTGGCAGATGATGCGACGGACGCCGTCGCGAATGCTGCGACGCCCGCTCCTGCGCCCGCCACCGCTGCAGCCACCGCGACTGCCTCTAAAAAGGCTCACCAGGGTTCTGAAGACCCCTACGTACCCGTCGTACCCTCGCTGATCTCCTCCTCTAACCCTATCCGAGCCTCGATTACACCCGCTATGTACCCCTCCATCTACTCAAAGGTCGTCGTGCAGGGCCTAACCCCCACGGTCCCGATCAACCTGGCCGACGTCACGAAAGCAATGGTCCAAGGCTGGAAAGCAGACGGCCAATGGCCGCCCAAACCAGCTACCACCAACCTCGTGCTCCAAGATACGGCGACGGTGCCCAAGACCGCCGAGGACGGACAACCGTCATCTCCAGAGTCGAAGAGGAGATCAGGCGTCGTCGGCGCAGTCCGCAAGGTACTACATTTCTCGGGGTTCCACCCGCACCCTTTCCATCGGCGCTCAAGCCATAGCGCTCAAGGGGAAGTGAGCGGTGCTGTGAATACCGAGAATGCAGGGAAGTAGATTTGATCTCTCTGTCGATCCCTGGGGTACGGTCTCTCTCTTTTTGTTCTTTTTCTTTTCATCTTTTACTATTTCCGTTACCTAGTTTATTTGCATGCTGTCATGTTATGGGCAACGAACGACGCACTCACTCCCCACCTCTACTTTTCTTGTCTTGTGAATGTCGACATCTATCAGTGTACTATTGATAATATCTGGGATTTGTATGATTGACGTGACGTCAGAAGTATGATCCTACCCCTTCCTTGAATGTTCCTCTACGTGTATGTATATTGCGATTGATCTCTTTGCATAAACACCAAAGACGCATGTTTTGGACGCCATGCTTGACGAATGAAAGTGGTCATGAATCAATTCATTGAATGCGCTCCCTTTTATCCAATCAATCATACAAACAAACAAACACTAAAGTACATACATACGTGGTTCATGCTATGAGTTCTGATATGATTTCGGTAGTTCATCAATTCCATCCAACCCGAAAAACACCATGTGCAGACCGTACCAAGCAAACCACATACGCCTCTTATTAACAAAATGCGCCATAACTAGCCTCATTAGATAGTGGTGGATGTGGAATGCACACTAATGGAAAGTGTCAAATGAGTCAAGAGCCCGTAGCGTATCCAAGAATTTCCGAGCAGCATCGTCGAATATTGCCAAGGGGAAATTTTCCAAATTCGCAGCCACGGATGGCTCGAGGTTGACCTCCTGTGGTTGGTGGCCGCCACGCCGAGTGAAGTAGTATTTGCCTTGGTGTCTGGACCAGCTCTCGTTGATGTAGGTCTGGAGTTCGCGCGTTGCGGAGATGCGAATCTCGTTGAAGAATGCTGGGGCGTTGGTAGGCGTGCTTTCGGATGTGAAGATGTTGGTCGGGTGAGGGATGTTTTCGGGATCGGTTATGAGTAGCTGGTCATGTAGGAATGATGTGCTAAACAGGATGAACTGGCGGAATGCTTGTATCTGGGCTATGATGTTCTCGCCCGCGTCGGTGGCTCGATCAATGTAGTCCACGACTCGCAGGACGATGTTATCATTTCGATAAAAGAAGCAACTGTGATTACTACTGGTGGTTCTTTGAGCATGTTGATATTGTCGATGATGTTGTGCAGAGCATGATATGAGGACTGGAAGACCGAGCTGAAAATACCCACAACCGATGCAACGCAGTTCGTATCTGTGGTATCTATATGGAAGAGCAATTCTTTGAAAGTGTGCGATATGGTCTGTATGATCGGTTGACTCAACAGCCACGCACCAGGGTTGCTGAAAGCCGTCTGAAGATAGGCTGGAAACACGGATTGCAGCAGGGTAGCCCTCAGGGTTGGCCTAGCCGGGTCTCCCACTTCATAAGTATGTGCTATGGAAGTCTGTAACTGGTCGACAAGGTAGACCTGCTGACCGTCTATAGCGGCTCGCTCCGAAATGCCCTGGATGAACATGATCAGGGTTTTTGCGACCTTTTCAGATGAGAGCTTCGGCTCGTAGCCCTTCAATCGTGCAACGATGTACGTCGGATCTGTTGAAGGCAAAGGAAACGAGGTCGGATCGGTAAAGAACGGGTCGATGGGGCAGATATCCCTCGTATGTTGCTGTAAGAACCCGACAATCCGGTGGACAAAGTCCACATAAACTCCTTGTGCACTTGCTGCGCTGCTACCTAGCTCCTGGTAGTTTGCTTTCATTGAGGACATCATTGTCTGGATAAGTTCACGGTACTCTTGCTTTTCAGTCGAAAGCGTTTTACTTGCTGCAATCTCCAGGTCTTGGATGTGCGCGCGCATGTTTGACAGTAGACTTGATATTAAAGACAACCGACGTTGACTGAGTTCTTCCAGCGTAATTGAGTATCGACCATGCTTTCTATCCACAGAGAAGGGTAAATTCTGCAACAGAGTATTGGTCGGATCGCAATTCAACAACGCCTCAGTCAAAGAGTGCTGGAATTTCAACATCGATACCCGCTCAACTAAGCTCGACATCCACATCCCGAGGACTTGCATCTTGCATTCAGATATGAATCGAGCATCTTTTTCAATGCAGCTTGCCAGGAACTTAGGTGTGAACTTTCTAGTTTGCACTGTCTTTCGAAGCCCTGCCCAGGAATCACCGTCGTAAAGGCTAAGATAATTGTCCCAATGCCGGAATCTATTTTTCACAAGCACTTGGGCGATAGAAGTCCAACAATCGACAACACTTAGAAGGATTGCGTCTTCCGGGCAGTGATCCTCACCAAAACAATTAGATACAAGCTGGGATACTGCTGGGTGAAGAGCTTTCTCCACGTATTCGATTCCTTGAGGATGGGTCGCAGGAGAAAACTCATCACCGTACATTGCCTCGATGTCGGCCCAATCACCATACTCTTGGCTGTCTTCATCCACTGGCGCTGGTGGGTTTGCTGATCCAGTAGTAGAGACGGAGTTGCACTTGTGAACATAGGCCTTTAACATCTGTAGAGCCTCTGACACCGTAGTATTGACACGAGCAAGCCTAGAGTTGAAGAGCCCCAATACCATACCTATAGGTGATTTAGAAATTAGTCTGTGAGCGTGCTCGAGTGTTGGGGCTGATTGAATAGCGTTTTGTAAGCTACTCAGGGCAGTTTTCAGTAAAGACTCGATCTGTCTCTGATTCTGTGAAATCGTCCGTTCGATCAGCTGGTGAGAAAATTGATTGTCCTTTGTGTTTTGCGCTTCTATCTCCCTTCGAGCTAGCATGTGCTGTTTGATGAATTCACTAACGAAGTAACTATGCCAATCAGCAAATGCTTCTAACCCAGATACATCCTCATCTGTGGACAACTTGAAGCGCACAAGTCTAGCCCATGATCGGATGCTGATATTGCAAGTTTCGCGGTGGGAGTTGGCAGGATGCACAAGGTTCTTTATCGCCTCTAATCGAGGTCGGCACCCATCTGGGACTGCGAAGTATAAAGTGCAGAGCAGATCGTGGTGGTTTCGTAGAGCATCCAAATCTGCCTGGTGAATAGGCTGTTCTTTTGGATATACTCTGCCGTGATTTGGCAATAGGCGCCAAGCGAAATTCCGCACTTTCTTCTTATCATATAGCTTGGACAGAAAACGCAAGCCACTTGCGATGAGCTTCAAAAAGATATGGAAGCATGGGTCGCTTGGCGTGACGTCAATGGATGGGTTGTGGTCGAGCTCATCTAAAAACGAGGGAGACGTATAATTCTCTTCTTGTTTCAGATTATACAAGGTGTTCCTCGCAAAGAAATCGTAGAGCGTATCTAAGATTAGTTTGCAATCCCTCCACCCCCAGCCATTGATAAGAAGGAAGCATCTGTGAAACAGAGTTCGGCAATAAGTATTGTAGGAGATAGAGGCTGAAGTACTAGGCTCGTAACTTTCCAAAACAGGGCACAGAAAATGTTTCACTATTGTCCAGTTGTTGCAAGTTCCTCTGAAGCGTGATCCAATTCGGGCGATTCCAAGAGCGTCAATTTCGCCCAACGGTAGGGTAGTTAATAGCCAATGCCACCTGCTTTCTAAGTGATCGATATCCTTTGTATTGCTCAGATCTCCGGTTGACAACAAAGAGTCGGCAATGAGCCCTTCAAAGCAGCCCTTCAGCTTTTCCGTACTGTGCAATATGTGCTGAACAATGACGTAGGCCTCAACGGCTGGGTATTCGTCTCGGACCCCTTTATCGCGTTGTTCGCACACCTTGTTATCTTCGAGGAATTTGCGAATATTGATTTTCCCTACTGAGTCCGAAATGGCTGTAAAGGCTTGTCTAGAAACTGACTTCACAAGTTCCAAGACTTCTTCCGTTACGCTGCCATTGACGAGGGTATGACAAGCTATCTGATAGGTTAAGTTGGCGAATACGACATTGTAGGAAGCAATTTTCGTACGATGCTCTGTCCCTCGAGCTGTAGCCGAGACCAATGCGGTTAAATTATCATTGACCTTGGAAATAAGCACATAGGCCCTCGTTATAAAGCCTGTTCTATCGATAGGATCGATGAACGTCAGAGTTTCCGTGACGTACTTGACCAGGGTCCTGTAGATAATGTGGGTGCGATTGGGTGCGTTTTCAAGGGCCGCCTCAGTGGACATCGTGTCATTCTTTTCCATTTCCTCAAGCATGGTATCAAATGCAATGCCAAGTTCAGAGGACACAGCATCATTCCAAGGTCCCCACCGAAAAGTTCGATCCCCAACATTCGAAGTGAAAATGCCAGTATCTTGATCAAGGTTACGCTTGCCGAGCTCAAGCGAGCGGTGAAACTCCCCACTTCCAATAAACGAAGATTCATGGAAAAAGGTTCCTAGGCCCAGAGGAGTGATGCCAAAATCCGTAGAGTACGAGCGTTGAAAACCACTCAGTCCGTCCGAGACTCCTTGACTGGGGTTTGCATCTTCCCCTTGCACTCGAGGAGGGTCTAGATCTGCGGACAGGATAAGTGGATTCGTGTCTTCAGCAGTGCTAACATCCAATCTCATGGGAGTGCGTTTCTTCAACTTCCGCTTGATTTGAACTGGACGCTTTGGGAGCGATACGCTCACATCGTTCGACTCGCGAGTGAAGGTGCTTCCGCGTGACTTAGCATGAACAGCTGCTTGGCTACTGTCGACGAGAAATCGATTCAATATTATATTTCGGTCCAGGGTCTCGGGTAAGCGTTTTTGCCTAGCATTTTGATTGAGTAGGGAAAGTGACCTTTGAAAGGATGGCGCTCGGGAAACGTTAAGACTCGCCATTTCTAAACCGACAGGTCTTGGATCGTTTCTTTTTAGAGAGGAAACGACAACGTTTCTCCGGACAAACCAGTTGTTGCCATACTGAATACGCTGCATAGGCTTTTTCGAAGTGGGGGGCGCTGTAGTGGGTGGTGGAGCTTCTGGATCTGGCGTTTGACTCCGGACGACGTTGATATCGTCCGGTCGTGTCGCTGGTCCAGCCGTGATACGGTGGTCTTTGTTTATCTCCCCAGATTCATGATTTCTGGGTCCAACTTTCTTGTTTGAAGAAAGATCCGCCAATGGTGGTCGCCTGGGGGCCTTTGCTTGAGCCCTGGGCAACTTCGACTGCCGAATACGCCCGGCGCGCCATTCGCGTAACGATGTGTTAGCATCTTCTGTGTCTAGAGCTGAACTCATTTTGATGACTTTGTTTGAAGGGCTTCGTCTGCCTTTATCCTGACGAGACCGTGCTTTGCGAGCAGCGACTCTGAGGAACTGTGGCTGCTCGTTTCGAGGCCGAGAAGCAACATCGGGAGCATCCAATATACCAAGCCTCGGAGGAGTGTGTGAGGGATATTTCTTTTTTTCCCGCCTGTAGATGGGATCCGTAAGCCTAGCTTGTTTCTTAAGGCGAGGCCGCTTAGGATGACTGTCAGAACGAGCAAAATGGCTCTCAGGCCTTTGTCGTTTTTGGCCTCCCTTTTGGGTTCGAGGAGCTGTTGTTTCACGTGTTGCTGATGGAAACATGTAATCGATGCGATTGTCTTCTGGAATGTCCTCGCCCATATCTTCCGCTAGGAATGTGTCATCGAATCCAACCAAGTTGGCTAGTATCTGTCGCGCATTGGTTTGACCCCCATTGCGGTCATCTTCATCCGTATCACTACCATCAGACTCGGCAAGATGTCTCAGTGATGCCAAATGCTCGACCAGGTTTGACGAAGTTGAGGGGCCAGTTCTCTTAATTATCTTTTTAGCGACGCCCTTGGCGTTTTCTATCCTAGAATTCTTATCGCGATTTCGCTGTGTAGAACTCAGCTGTGCATCCTTTTGTCTCTGTTGGTCTAACCGCAGCCACGAAGCCGGAAGTACACCTTTGATTCTACGTTGAAGTTCACGAACGTCCTCTTCAGGCTCCTCTCCTTCTTCTTCATCCTCTCCATCATTCTCCGAGGCGGAATGAGAATGTTGAGAGGCTGTCGACCGAACATCAACAGGCTCTTCATCAACGTCAGATCTGGACCCGTAGGCTGTTGTAGTGGCATCTCGCCCTTCCCGTCTCGGGGCTGTATTAGGTGTGTTTAACGTAGGCGGCGTGAACCCACGAGGGAACCGAAACTCAGTAGGATTCCATAGGGCCTGCGGGGAGGAGTTACTTCCAGAGCGTGGCGGACTGGGCAGTATGTCACGAGCCAAGCTACTGTTCAAGTTGATAGGAGACGCACGGTTGGTTATTACCACTGTAGGCCGGGGCTGGTGGCGTAATAAGTTCCAATGATCGTCTGGCCTTGACACTTTACGCCTCTTAGGCCCTCTGATCTCGTTCTCAGATAGGTCCTGATGGAGCGAATGCGGTTGGCTTCCATGAAGATCTTGAGGTGCTTTTCCTGTAGAGATAGAATTTCTTTCCGGCGGAGACGATGGTGCAAACTCGAAGTCCGCAGTAGGGCTGCTCGAAGGTGGCAGGGTGCTATCAAAGCTCTGTCCTTGGCCATCAGCCGCCGCCTGCATTGCTTGCTGGTATTGAGCGGCGGGTACTGGTTTAATCCCTCTTGCCTTCATAAGCTTTTGGTATTTCGCATTCTCCAAAAGATACGGGTGTAATTGGATGGGATTGCGCTGCCGTAAGGACCTTCGTGCTGGTTGAGACATCTCTCGCAGTATATCTTCTGGGATTTCAAGAGGCGGAAGCAACGCATCTAGGTTGCTCTCCGGCGGTGGACTCTCTGTATTCACTGTATTCTGTTGATCATGTTCATCACCTTCGCCCAATGTCAAAGAGTGGAGGGACGACAGTGGTGAAGATAAAGGCGAAGGGTCGGCATTTTCGTTATCCTTCTGTTGCTCGCCAGTGCCTGGCACTTTCGAATGAAGGCCGATCGACCTCCGGGAAATCAGATCGACCAGCTGTAGTTCGTCTGGTGAAGAGCTCTGTACCTCCCATATGTCTTCGGATTGCTCTCTTAGCGGGGTCGACGGTGGGCTTGGCCTTGGCCTTGGAGTAGCGGATAGAGTCGGGGATGGATGCGACTTTCTCGTAGGCGTGGCATCCTCATCATTGAAGTCTTCTGATAGCGGTCCTGTAGCGATATCCCTAGCTTGCTTGTCGGGCACCTCTTTAGCCAAAGACTTCGCTTCCTCATTTGCCTGGACAGGCACATTATCAACATCTGGACTGGATATGACAGGTAGGAAATTTTCAACAATGCCGCCTTGGGAGCTATGGTGGCTCTCTTCCTTGGTGTCTTTACCCTCGGGGGCCTGGGGAGTCGTACCCAGCGTATCGGGTGTCGGGGATGCTCCAAGCTCATCGTCACTACCATCGAGATCCTGGTTCACTTTTTCCGGGCTGTCCAACCCATCATCCTCGTCTGAGTCCGGTACAAACCCTCGTTCCCGCCATGATTCCATTTGCTTCCTTGGCGCTGATGGCCCATCTCCCTAATACCCCATTACTTCGTAGGCGGACGCTGTAAACAAGGGATCTCCGTGCCCCCAAATACTAATTGGAGATAGATATCACCACTAACATAAAATCTGTTTAAAGGGATTAATTACCAATAAGTGGTGGTCAATTGAGAATGACTTAAGAGTGGATGTCGGGAAGACGCGTTGAAAATGTGGGGAGACGCGACGGAGATTATTCATGGCGGAACTTTGGCGATTGATGCGGTAAAACTGTTAATAACTTCCTACTCCGGACATCCTCCTTGGCTTCATCTGTTTCCCGAGAAACGATCTTCCTCAAAGCAAAGGAATTGTGCTAGACATTTTCTGTTCCACAATTTCCATCTGATAACACTATGAGTCGAAACTGGATTCCGGCGCTTGTAGCCATTGGAGTGGGAGTCTTTTCAGGTCGGTACTGTTCAGAATGCAGAGAGCCTCCACTAACGTCGCTCCTACACTGCAGGCTATTACACCTTCCAACCTTTACTGAAGGATCTGCAGGCGGAGAAAGCAGGTTTCCAGCGGTATGTCGCTTTACCTACATTGAGGATAGCCCGTCCTTCGCCCCTTCCATGAACTGATACGATGCCGTTGGATATTTTCAGACTCCAACTAGGAGAGCGAACACAAGCCCCTAACGGCGCTCAGACCCCTACTGCGAACACCGACGAAGGCTCGAATGCTCCAGTGACGCCAGATACAAAAACCACCCAGGCCGGGAATCCAAAGTAAATAGCAAGGGAGAATATCGGCTCACTGGCGCTTCCCTAGTGCGATGCCCCCCAGGTACACAAGTGACCTGTCAGAGCTCGCTCCAGCAGACCCCAATCTCAAAATTCCGAGAACGGCTCCCATGGAACGTATAGAGCGAGTGGGAAAAGGTCCGCGTCAAACAACACCTACCACCCTTTTCTGACAAGTAAGTCGGTCATTGGCTATTGAACCCTCATGGTTGACCATCAAGGGTATGTGCATGGTAAAGAAGATGACCCCAAGAGCAATAGATCTTGGAATCTAGTTTGTGGTGGCTCAGTTTGCCTACGAGCAAACATCCAAGTAAATATCTCTGCAATCTTGTAACTACTCGCAATTCATAGATATTATTCGGTATTAAACATGTATTATTTAGCATATTTCACCAGCGTTAACCTTCCAACAATCATAACTGAAAACAGCCCTATTTCCTATATAAACTCCCCCTGAACCGGGTATGCCAATCACTAGATACGCAGTAAGACGATGAACGGGCAAACCAGACTTCTTCAATATACAGCCCAATCCCATTTAACAAGACATTGTAAATAGACCCACGGTGTTAAACTTGACTTTTCCAGATACGCCAGTTCCGTTTGCACCTGACTTCCAAACTAATCGGTTATACTTCTTCCACCAGCTTTCTAGGCCCACTGCTTTCCAAGGGTGTTTCCCCAAAGACTCGTCCTGCGGGAGCACCAAGCCATTCCTCTGATACAATGACCTTGCTCCCCTCGCGTCCACTAATCCATCTGACCATAGCTGGGTCCAGTCTCTCGAATTCATGCGTCTGTTGCTCTGCAGAGGCTGTTTCAGCCGCTTCAGCAGCCGGAATCCGACCACGCCTCTTCGGGGCTTGCTTCCGTAGAAGCCGATTGATCGTATCCATCTGTCCTCTTGCGTCAGTGTTCACTACTTAACAAGTAAAAATAATTTTGGCCTTGATAGCCATCCAATAGGAAAACAAGACTTCAGAGTGCGCACCTTTTCTTCTTCATTTCGCTTTTCGCTAAGGTTCTTTCTTCGGCGAGCCATTTCCGCACGGCGCATGGCGCGCTCTTCCGCGGTCAAATGCTTCTTGACTTGTGGTTCTGTGTTGCGTTAGGCACTTGCCCCAAGACAGCCTCGCAAGACTTGTAGAAGACTTACCCATTGGGAGTTGCAAAAAATCGTTGCCCAAGTTACCCCTTTGGCGTTTGGTCATCCGGGCAGGGTCGGCAGTAGGAGTATCATCATCACTGTCGAGATCTTCCTCGTCCTCTTCATCCTCATCTAGGTCCTCCTCGCCCCCATTGGCGTTTCCAATTCCACTCTCTTCCTGATCGTCAGGCTCACCTTCGGCATCAGATTCAGGATCAGAGAGCTCCTCGTCATCATCTTCATCATCATCGGCATCTCGTTCCATTTCTTTCGCCTCGACGCCTTTCACTGCTTTAGAATTGGACGCGGCGGATTTGGCGTGTCTTTTTGACACTGGAGGTTGCGGAGGAGCATCATCCATGTCTAAATCTCCATCTGCGTCTGCATCCTCATCGTCCTCACCGGGAGCATCTTCATCGTCCACTTCATCTTCTTCCTGATCGTCCAGATCTTCGTCGCTCGTATCAACTTCGACGAGCTTCTTCTTGGGCCGGCTAGTCCGTGGCCCTGTAACTATGGGGTTTTCTGTGAAAACGTTGACGGAGCGTCTGGAGGCACCATTTCTTGTATTACTACTGGTAACCTCGCGCAGCTTACTTGAAGGCATCTTGACAGTCAAACGAATAGATCGCCTTGACTCCTCCGGAGAGTCTGAGGGAGACCGGAAGACGGTCACTGATGAAGATGCGACAGCGCGAGTAACTCTGGCTGGGGTCCTGGGACTTGCGTTAGAATCCAAGTCTGGTGGATCATCCCGCACAGGGCGGGAGCGAAGTGAGCGGCGCAGAGACATGATCGATCGACAAGATTGACTTGATACGGGGTATGGATGGGAAATTGATCGAGCAAAGGGTATAAAAGGTAACAAGATGAACTCTCGAAAATCGACCAACGAACTGAGTTTGTAAAAACGCAAACAGGAACAGTCAGGGAAAACACAAAATGAGGCGGGGGTTTAGTCTCGTATAGGTGGACAATAGTAGTCAGAGGATAGTCAACAATAAGGCTATCTGAGATGGTTGTGTCATCTGACGGTGAGGCAAGTTCGGTCGTGGAGGAGATACAGAGGGGAAAGGAGGGGAATGATTGATGGACAAGGAAACAGCCATGCGGTAGTTATGACCAACTGACTACGTGGGCCAGTACAGAGAAGTGGTGGTGATGCAGTTCGGGAAGGCACAGGCCATCAATCCCTATCACATCTTTTGACGCCACCTGGAACTTCCCATCCGACATGAAGGACAGAACCAATGGGAACATTCTGGACTAAGATATACACCAGTCAAGGGCGGGAGCGCGGTGAACGCAGCGTTGGTGCGTTTTTTCTCCTGCAACCCTGACAGGATATTACTGTCCGTTCTGTGCGCGGTGGACAGGGATCCCTGACCGAACGAGGGTGGTGGATACAACTTTAATATGATCGGAGAAAAGTGAAGGCCGCGATGCGATAAAAATAAATCATAATAAAAAAGGGGTACAGTAGTAGATAAAATCCACGGGTAAAATGGGTGGGCTGTTGCCCTGAGTACATGGATCCATGTATGTATACGAAAGGGAATAAAGGGAAAACTCACAAAGGACAATGTCGGATCGGTGAGGTACGTACCACCCAATCGTCTCGAAATTGACGCTTCTGTATATATTTCCAATCGTTGCTGGAGGATCAATGTATATATTACCCAGTCGAACCAATGACTCGCACAGTCCCTGATGATCTTCTTGGTCTATTCCTGTCGCAAATGAACGATGGGAGACAATCGGAACCCGTCATGTTCATCGTTAATTCTGCCGCCAGGCGGTATCTCAATCCCCGACCGCCTACCGTAGACGGGGTTGCCATGTGGGCCAGCATTACCACGCATGACAATACCGAGATTCAACCTTCTCCGGAGGACAGCCGAGGTCGCCAGAGGTCAAAGCATTACTTACTAGCAACTTCTCCCTCACATGGTCGTCGAACTGCGTATCTTTCCTGCCTTCCTCACTTCTTCCTCTTCCAATTGATTGATTTCATGGTAGAATTACTTCATTGTATTTAACTCGTTCTTCCATCCCTTTTAACACACCATGGCTGATTCTAAGCCCAAACCCCCTTCAATCCCCGAATGGCAACGGCCCTCCGCCACCAACTCCGCCTCCGCATCTTCGCCGAGCTCCGATGAGGCTTCACGATCGGATCTTCTACAACAAGCGACCAAGTTCTTAGAAGATGAGTCCTTGCGCGACGCACCGCTAGACCGCAAGGTATCCTTTTTGGAATCTAAGGGTCTCCGACAAGATGAAATTGACAGTCTGCTGGGTGTGTCGCGAAACTCCGAGGCAACCAGCAGTACGACTGCAACCGAGAGCGATAACAAGACCACCGAGATTAGCACCACGAAGGACACACCAAGCGACGCTGCCTCTTCATCGCCTTCTACTTCGGCATCTCAATCATCCTCTTCCCCTGCCGCCCCCACCATCAGCAATCGGCAATCCTCGTCCGCTCGTGACGTTCCACCGATCATTACTTACCCGGAATTTCTCGTCAACCAGCCCAAACCCCCTCCACTAGTGTCTCTTCGCAGCCTCCTCTACACTGTCTATGGCGCTGCAGGCCTAGGGGCTACTATCTACGGTGCAAGCGAATACCTCGTGAAGCCCATGATCGCCAACCTATCAAGTGCGCGACACGAACTGGCCGAAACAGCCCAGGATAACCTGAAGAAATTGAACGAAAAGCTGGAGCAAAATGTATCAACCATTCCTCCTCAGCTCACGGCTCGTCACACTCAATCTACTGGCTCCAACTCAGATGATGAGACCGAGTCTGTCACATCCGACCCGGCGGAGCTATTCCACCGTGACGTCGCTGTCCAGACCACGGAAGATTTCAGTCTTGAGAACTCATCCTCGTCAGCTGCGAATACCGCAGACGCAGAATCGTTCGACCCCAGTGCAGCTGTGAATACACATGTAAAGCGACTTGAAGTCATCAAGTCGCATCTCCAAGAATTCTCTGAGACTGAGAAGCAGTCGAGTACGAGCGATGATACTGTTCGCACTAGCCTCAACGAGCTAAATCATTA